TTACCCCGCCTCCGCCTGGGCTGCGGGCTGCGCCCCGCGCCCCGCGCCCCGCCCCACTTACTAGGTCTTGGGCCCAGAGGGGGTGTCGGGGCGGCTCTCCGCAGCGCTCTCCTCCGCCAGCGGCTCAAAGTAGGAGTTGAGCGCTCTCTGAAAAGCGAAGGCACAGGCGTGAGACTGAGGCGCTCCACCCACCCACGTGAAGGAGCGCGAGCGCGGGACAGCAAGCGCGTACTTCCATCTCCCAGTCGTTCTCGGCCAGGTAGCACTGAGCCACGGCGGGGTCACAGCTCGCCACCGAGGCGAACTCCACACACAGAAGTCGCCGCTTCTTCGCCTCAGGCTCGCCCTCATCTCCCGCCGCCTCCGCCTCCGCCTCCGCCTCCGCCCCGCCCTCCGGTCCGCGCTCCTGCTCCATCCGCTCGCGGCCTCCTCACCGCCCCCACACCAGGAACCGGCGGCCAACGCTGGGCTCTGCGCAAGCGCGCGCTCCCCGGCACACCCGCATCAACCGCCCGGCGGGGAAACGCGCTCCGCCCTCGGAGGCGGTAAGTGCGGCGGCGAGCCCGGCGAGCCGGCCGAGGCGGAGGCGGAGGCGGACGAAATGCGCGTGCGCGCTCGGTCACAGACTGGCGCGGAACGTCAGTGCGCGAGCCGCTGGGGACCGGTGGCGGCGGGTGCGCGCGACGCTGGGTCGCTCGCGCGCGGTGGGGCGGAGAAGGTTGCGGTCGTTTCGTCGTCTGTGTCCTTTCGCGAACTTCTGGGCTTCCGGCTTTTCCGAAGTTCATTCTTGCGGAGAGCCCAAAAGCCGAAAAGCTGTCCACGATGAGCTTCATGAGTCAGAATCTGCGGGAGGTGATGAAGGCCCTGGCCAATGCTGGCGGTTTTGATAAAATTTTGGAAAAGGTATTGGAGGCGAAGCCTCGGCTTCTAATGAAGGGAAGGAAAGCACTGTGCTTGGCGCGTTGTGGGCGCTGAATAAATACGTCTTGTTAGGTTCTATTCGCGTACGCCTGTAAATTCACCTTGGTACTAATGATTACTTTAATGGAGCGCCTATAGATGCGGGATCGAACGCGTAGATCTTCGTTCGCATCTAAACTTAGATGAGTACGGTTTTGACTCGTGGGGACTGAATTCCTTAGTTCTAGAACTGGGAAAGACTGGGGTTCGATCTTTCACCAAGCGCCTGCAGGGCTCTGGGGGAAAAAGTAAAAGGCTGCCTCTATATTTAAGGCACTCTACAGTCAAGAAAATTGGAAGATAAATAATTGCAGTAAGGTTTGAAAGCCAAGTGCCTGCATACTTTGGTAGAGATGTGGTAGAGAGATGAACAAAGGGAGAAGTTGTTCCCCTGTAGTGGTTTGGGAGATTTCGCAGAGGCATTCAGCCGGTGGAGGAAGATGAAGTGCATTTCAGAGGTCAGCACATGCAAAGTCCGAGGGTGTCTTAAGAGATTTATTTGGGGAAGCAGCGAAGCAATGTGCCCCAGAGTGAGGCAAGGCCTGTCTCTGCCCTCTTTCACATGAACCAGCCCAGACTCCTAGTTTTCAATGTCTTTGTAAGAAGAACATCATGTTCCATGGGAAGCATTTATAAATAAGCAAGAATAATAAAAGCCCTTGGTATTGTCAGATTTGGAAGACATTTAACCTAAGAACTTTTAGGGATTCTCCTAAATGTTTTAATGGCTGCATGCCTGTTTTTCTGATTAAGAGTACTGAGAACATTGAAGTAATCTGGAAGTGGAGTTTAAACATGGATCCACTGCTGTTTGTAAATCTTCCTGTAACACAATTCTCAGGCTGTATTTTAACAACGTAAATAATAGCTGTTCCTAACTATTAAAACAAAGAATACTTAGATAAATGCATTTAGTGTTTTTAAAAAAGCAAACAGTATAAAATGCAAGGACATATTACTATTTGACAGTGACTTTTTGAAAGAAAATATTCCAAAAACGGATGTATTGGTCCAAGGGAAATTTAATTTCTTAAACACTCGGTAACCATTTTCCTTATTAAGCTTTCAGCAACCTTACTAATTGTGTATCTTCTTGTGAAAATTTTGTCATGGGTAGGATTGTCTTTGAGTATCTGTTACGTCCTGATCCAATAAATCGGCTGCTATCCCTTGTGGCCAATTAAAATACGAGAGGCTGAGACTGAGAGTAAAGGAAGTGTTTAATTTCTATAACCAGGTTATAGGGAGATGGGTCAGCCTCATTGCACCCCCCCAAAACCCACTTAAAGCAACACAAAGTTATTCCAGTATTTATACCCAAAACATATAGCCCTTCACACACCCTGAGTTTGAAGCCTTTGTGCAGTATTAGCTTGACTCAAAATTTACATTAACAATTCTTGATGTGTTACTGCTGACATGACACTAAGTCTCCTGGTTATACTGACATTTTAGATAACATTTTGGAATTTACAATATGTTCTCTTACAGTTTTTTTTAGAGGAAGGGGCAGACAATTGCAATATTTGGAGGGCAAACTCATAACATTTAAGATGATAACTTTAAATTGTTTTAAAACATAACTGTAACAATCTTTTATTCCCAGAGCCCTGACCTGTAACAGTCCGATGTCCTTGTATTCACAGATGGAGGGGAAGTGGGCAATGCAGACACATTCCTGTCAACTTTGTTCTACTCTCCTAAGCATTAGCTAGTCTGACTTGCCCGTCTGTTTATTTTTCAGTACCAGCAATGGCTTATTAGATAAGGTTGACTGGTCAGGCAAGGTTGTGTTAGGAGAGGAGCAGCAGAGGAGTGGGAGCAAATAGGAAAAATGTACACTTTTGAATCCAAGCAGCTTTTGCTTTTAGCCCAGGTCAGCAACAAAAGAATACAAGTTTTTAAGTCTTTTCTAAATGACTGTTCCAATATAACCAAAATGGCCTTTTTTAGCTTATAACATATCTGGTTAAACTCTTCATTCCTTGAATATACACTCTGGAACAGTTATAGACTACATTCTTGCCTGAGTTGGCAGTTGTGGTAACTTGCCTTCTAAGAAGATTGATATGCCTGGTGAACCAGAAGTATAGAGCTTCTCAGAAGTTGCAGTAAGGTTGAAGTGGTACACACTAGTCTAAGTCTAGACTAGCACTAGCCACTGTCAGGTAGAAATACAATGCAAGCTACAAATGTGAGTCAAGTGTGTAATTATAAACTGTTTAATGGCCACATTTTGAAAAGTAAAATAAATAAGTGAAATTTATTTTAGTATTATGAGTAACAGTATACCCAAGATACTTTTAACATGTAATCAATATTTAAAAGTCCCAAATCTTTCCACACTTAACTCCGGTGTGAACTTTATACTTGCGGCACTTCTGTTGGTGCCAAACCTTCAGTGAGTCCAACAAGGATAGCACAGTGTCAGAGAGGCTGGAAAAAAGACCCAGAGACAGCCAATGATCAGCTCTGTCCAAGGACAGCCGGCTGAACAGGGGGGAAAAACAAAACAAAACAAAACCTGCTACCATTGTGACAAGCTTGTTGAATATATAGTAACTTTCACATAGTAACCTCTGCTTAGCAACCTCCACCTAGCTCAAAACAACTGGTCTTGGTTCCTTGCACATCCAGTTTTCTTTATAGGTGTGGCATAAACATCCAGGTTGGCTTTTCCCAGAGTCCTTACCTCAGAACACTGAACAAACCTTCATCAAAGAACACAGGGGCATTCTTGGGGTATACTTGAGTTATTGCCTCCTGGCAAGACACAACTTCTCAATTCAGACTAGCCACATTGCAATTGTTTAATGCTGACTGGCATGTAACTAGTGACTATTAAATGACACAGATCAATAACAGTGTTATGGCCCGATCCAACAATTGGACTCTTCCCTCACGGTCAATCAAATATGAGAAGCAGAAAGCTGGAAGAAATAAGGAATTGTATTCTAATACCATGGGATCAGGGAACAGGCTGTGTAGCCACCAATTTGCATCGAGTATTTATAATAAAACATACAGTTTCTTATCTTTTCCCTGTTATTAATAATGACTACGTGTCTTAGGACGGCTAATCAGTTCTTTCTTAATCAGATTCCAAACAGTTACCGTCACAGACTGGTGCTCAGATTACATCAGTCCTGCCATTCTTCTAAGTTCAGTTACCTCGAACACTTTGGGGCTGCGTACTTTCTAGTTGGTTATGGTTTTTTGCTTATTCCAGGAGTTCTGGTTCACATAGCTTAATTAAGCATTATACATAAAATTAATACAAAGGCATGAAAGAAAGCAGTTGTCATTTAGAGACTAGGGGAACAGATACATTTCTAGGTTTTAGAAAGTTTCAGCAGAGCCCATTTCTTATCTAGGTCCGGTGGAGGCTTTTCCAGGGACATGCAGTTTTTGTGTGTGTCTCCTGCTTATGAGGGGGCTCAGTGAAGATGGTTGTGTTCCCTTCAGAATCAGCAACAGTTACTAGATCCAAGGACATTGAAGAGGGGGACAAAGAAAAATGTTCACTTTTAAATTCAAATGGCTTCTACACTTAGCCCATCTCAGCTTAGCTTAATACAAGTTTCTAAGTCTTTTCTAAATGACTTTAATATAAACAAAATAGACTCTTTAGCCTGTAACAATAGTAGGTACTCTGTGTTTGCTAATTTGACCCAAAAGAGGTTTTGTGGTGGTTTATGTTTCATGTGGGCAGAGTGGCTAGGGGTCAATTATGTATTTATGCATGGTAATTTGTATGTCTAGTTGTGAATATAGTCCCTTTCCTTTCACTATAAAATTTAAGGTAATATGACCTAAACAAGTGGTGCTCAGTTGGGAGTGATTTTGCTCCCCAAGGGACATAGGCAAAGTCTGAAGACGTTTTTGAGGGATGCTATTACTGGCATCTAATGAATGAAGTCCAGGAATGCTGCTAAATCTGTCCATTGCATACATCTATCCTGCATGTCCTTGTAACAAAGAATTATCCAATCTGAATGTCCATAGTGCTGAGGTTGAAAAACCTTGACTTAGAACAAACCCTAACAGTCAAAATAAGGGGTAGGCATAGTGGCTCAAGCCTGTAATCCCAGCACTTTGGAAGGCCGAGGCAGGAGGATTGCTTGAGCCCAGGATTTTGAGACCAGCCTGGGCAACATAGCAAGACCTTGTCTCTACAGAATATTAAAAAATTAGCTGGGTGTGGTGGCATGCGCCTGTAGTCCCAGCTACTTGTAGAGGCTGAGGCAGAAGGAATGCCTGAGCACAGAAAGTCAAGGCTGCGGTGAGCTGTGATCGTGCCACTGCACTCCAGTTTGGGCAACAGACTGAGACCAGACGCCAACTCAAAAAAAAATTTAAATTTAAATTAAAATATATATATATATATATTATATATATATATATGGAAATAATGTGTATCTCAAGCAATAGTTTGAACAACTATTGAAAGAGATCTACTATACATTGGGCTATAGGCTGGGCAGGGTGGTGTGCCAGTAGTCTCTGCTAATCGGGATGCTAAGTGGGAGGATCACTGGAGTCCAGGGGCTTGAGGCTAGCCTGGGCAAAATAGATCTCATCTCTAAAACAAATTGAATAAAAATAAATAGGGCTGGAGAAATGGCTGATTTATTGGGAACAGTAAAGATGCTGCAATGTATATAAGTCTGTCCATTGCACACATCTATCCTGCATGTCCTTGTAACAAAGAATTATTCAATCTAAATGTCCATAGTGCTGAGGTTGAAAAACCTTGACTTAGAACAAAGGCTAACAGTCAAAATAAGGGGTAGGCATGGTGGCTATGAATACACACACACACGAGGGGGACCAAAAAACAGACCAGAATTGTTTTCTGGAGGGCAGACCCTTTGTAGTACAGGCTAGGTGAGTGTTCTAGGAATCCCATGGCATCGGTGTACCAACTAGCATTACTGTGAGAG